TTATACTGGATACATGAACAATTAAAGCACCGGAAAAAGAAATAAGAACACCTACAATTCTAAACTGAATCAGATTTTGCTGCATTATATAAATCAAGCTAAGTTTTATGTATATAGTAGTAGTTTCTCCACTGAAGTTTCTCCAAATAATTAAGGTATATTATATTTTACATTAATTAGAAGAGATATAAAATATTACATTCAACATATTCTCTGTGTGCTTTTTGGCAGAATCTAATATTACCAAAAGCTTTTAAATGTATATAATAATTATTACAAATAGATCCTAAAATTAACTTTAAATCACAGTCTTAAAAATGCCTAATGAAATACAATTTAGTTATGAAGAACAAAACAATAACTGAATACACAATACAAATATTACTTAATAGAGGAGTGAGAAAAGGTTCTTAAATCATATCGTCATTTACTGTTTAGAAAAGCATAAGATATAATATGCTGTTATGAGCACAAAAATATCATTGCATTCACAAGTTTTGCTCTGTAAATGAAGACTGTTTAGTTTTCAAAGTTCTAAAATTCTATAAACATAGATGCTACCAAAAACCCCAAGAACTTCAAATAAAATGAAGGAAAGCTAGGGACACAGTCAGAGAGAGGGGTGTGATCGGTTCAGACTCATGACAAGAACCAACTCCCATACCTTAAGGTCTATGAAATAACAACAATAGATCCCTAATTTCAATTGAAAGGAATCTAAAACACTTATTCCCATTACAATTTAGCTGAACTCATATGTGATGGTGATCCAAAAAAACTATTACTATTTCTTAAAATTCTTAGTATCAGCAGAAAAATGTCTTTTATGTATGTATTTTTATAATATATATGTACATATAGGTATACACATACATAATTTATAAAGTATGGGTTCTTAATGACCACATGATATAGTAAGTAAAAGGAACAGTAGTATTGTCATCAAATATGAATACTAATAATTTGTACCATAATATATTCTTATATAAAATTCATTGCCATTATAACAAGCCAAATATGAAGTATTAAATCACCCTAATAAAGCTTGTTTCATTTAAAGTTATAAAGCTAAAAGTAAGTTATACTTGAAATAAAAATCTGGATTATTCTACTAATAATCCAGATGACTGCAGTAGAGTAAGAATGTTTCTGATAAACATGTTTTACTCTAGGAGGAAAGTATACCAGGAGATGGTAACTGATTTTTCTCTACCGTGGTATCTATGTGAAATCATCAACCTTCTTCAATGGCATGCCATAGAAGCTATTTGCACATTAAGCTTTTCTTAAGATATGTTGAATATTTCTGTACAGACACAAGTAGATTGTATAAGAGCATCATCAATAAAGCTATTCTGAGGACCAAGGCAGGAAATTGCTAGTCAGAAGTGAGTTGTGGTGGTGAGCTGTCTTAACTAGTTTCCAATCAACTGAATGAAGGGAACTAATGATGCTGCTGCACTCACTCTCTGCTCTTCAGAAATGGCCCAGGTGACTATGGTTGGCCCTTGTTCTCCAGGAATGTTCATCACATACCAGATATCCGTTATTTAAGATATGGTATTAGTTGTATACAACCTATCAGAACACTTTTGTGTACTTTCTTTAAAAAAAAATGAGGTGTGTGTGCATGCGTGTGCACATGTGCATGCACATGCTCGTCCACATGTGGAGGTAAGAGGGCAACTTTTGAGAGTCAGTTTTCTCTTTTCTCTATGTGAGTCCTGAGGACTGAATGCATGCCAGACTGTCTCTATCTTCTCCAGACTGTTTATAAGACCTAACACAACATAAATATGCTATGAAAATAGTTAATATACAACACCATTTGGGGGAGAATGGCAAGCAAAAAGTATGTACATGCCCACATTTTTTCCCAAGTATTTTCGGTGAGTTGGTTGAATCCATGGAGGAGAGATCTGTGGCTATAGAGAGGTGACTCTGTTTTCTGCATTTTGGCTAAAACACCAGGGATTCCTATAGTCAGTTATATTAGCTATGCTACACGTTAAAGGCACAACAAGACCAGTTGGAGATGCTAACTTAAATGGCATACAGCATATGGCCTGATGTGGAAAGACGGGCTGCCAGACACTGTGCTCACAGATATGCCTAAAGGTTCTATGGGGACTGAAAAAGACACATGACAGCAAGAAGCACCTACTGAAAGCACGCTGATTTCTAATGATCAAAACAATGAAGCAATGTATTGGTTTTCAGCATTTGGCAAGAGGAGAATAGTAGGGAGCGTTCCAGGGGTAAATAACACTTAATTTTGCTAATTTGCTATAGTAAAATCAAACTGTAAAGTGGTAAGAGAAATCACACTGTAATTTGAGCTAATATGTTCAGCATTATTGAGGTGGGATGTAAATCAAATATATAGCTTGGTAATAAATTTAAAGAAACATAGTAAACACTAGCAGATGTATATAGATAGGTTTAGATAACTCGTAACTATCACACGGTTTCAGTGAGGGCCTATACACCCAAAATTTCTCTTCTTAGTCAACTTTTATATGTTTTTGGCTAAAAGTATTAATGTAAAAAGAAAACAACCCCAACCCAAATCACATCACACTCATAACTCCCCAGAAATAGATATTTTAAGTGCAAATTTTTATCTATATCTATAGTAAATTGGTATTTCAAAAATAGTTCCAACTATTCTTACTTGCTATAACTCAGTTATTTATGGGTTTATTTGACAAACTGATATAATGATAAATTATTCCAAAGTTGTATAGTGGAAGCTCTAGGAGTAATGTCATCTTGCATACTCTGTATAGAAAAACAGCCGGGCAGGGGTAGCACCTTTAATCCCAGTACTAGGGAGGCAGAGCCAGGCGGATCTCTGTGAGTTCGAGGCCAGCCTGGGCTACAGAGTGAGATTCAGGACAGGCACCAAAACTACACGGAGAGACCCTGTCTGGAAAAATGAAAAATAAAGAAAAACAAAGGCATCCACAGTAAAAAACTATAAAATTAATCCTTTTAATATCTATAACTATATATAAACGACCTGAAGTACAACATTTAGTTAATTTAGCAACAGAGCTTACAAATTAAGTAAACATTCATTAAGTTGTTCCTGGGAAGACTTGGGTAGCTAGAACTGTTGTGAAGGCAAATGGGAATGGCTACAAGAGGAGACGTAGGAAGAATGAGGGCATAAGGGAGGCACGTCAGCGTGAGAGAGTCGGTGAGGTGAAAAGGAGACAGCACACAAGGCCTTGAGATATACAGGATACTTTCCCTACCACTGGGAATGGCATTTGACATATATCATAATAGGCATGTTATAAACTACTGGTACCATTTTCCTTTGGTGACAAATATAAACTTACTGTTTTGTCTATGATATTTCATCATCCTTTTGTAATTGTCATGATTTTAAAAGCTAGAATGAAATCAAAACTTACTGAGTATAGCACTTTGTTTTATTGATAGAGTAACATGGCTAGAGAGGATATGGCTGATTAGTGGTAATTTCTTTATTTTGTAATCTGTATAAACACTTGTATGACTGAAAAATTTAGAAGTGTAAGATTATTAAAAGCATATACATATAAGAGCCAATACATATAAGAAGCACTTCAAAAATATGTATAAAAATGCAAGAAAATATTCTACTCAGAACATCTGTTCTGATGTTGGAAAAACACTGAATTAAATAAAAATAGAGGGTTCTAAACTTTGATTAGGGAAAGGTCACTAATAATGATGAGAGCCTGGACAAATCAGCCCCACAGAGACACAAGAGTAATACAAAGTACATAGACCATCCTGGAGAAAACCCATCAGGTGGGGACTAGAAGCCTCTTACTGATGTTCTTTTCTCCCCAATCCACCACTCCCTCATTCCGTTTCAAGAACAAAGGCCCATGTGGTGGTGACACAATGAGAAAAGTGTGTTCACACTGAATTCGAAGGCCCAGCACTACACTCCCCACCTCTTTGCAGTGTTAGGGGTGGAACTCAGGACCTGGAACACACTAAGCACTGTCATGATGCTACTGAAGTACAGCCCTGGCCTCACAACCACTATTTCATATGAATTAAGTAAGAAGTCAATTCCATTGCTCTTTTGTATCAGGTGATCAATCTCCCTTTTCTACATAGTTGAATTTACACCTTGATGATATCAAATGATATATAACTTCCTATATTTATGAAGCCATTTCAACAAATTAATACTCTCATACTGACATGTGTCATCCTTCTGTGTCAAAATGCATGTTTAAATTGAAAAGCTTGAAAAGTGCTATATGACGATGTGTCTTCACTCTATCATTTGCTCACAGCACCAACACAGGCGTCTCTCCTTGTGAATGAATCATCTGTTACCAGTGCTTCCCAGAATCTTTCTTTCGTATATACAGTGTGACTCTGGCCAATGCAATATAGTACATAGCAACACATCTTTGGACAGAGCCACACAACATAGCCCAGACTGGCCTCAAACTCACAATCCTCCTGTCCCGGCCTCTCATGAGCTAGGATGAGAGGAATGTAGTCCACAGAATTATTTTTAAAAAAATTAAATACTAGCATTAATATAAATTTGATAAAACAAGTACATGTAGTTTTCTATTGTAAAAGCAAACCAGTTTTTAAATGTATTTATTAAAGTATGGTACAGGTGGTATATAATACACCTGGCCTTGAATTCACAACAATCCTTCTGCTTCAATCTCTGTGTGCTAAGATTCTAGCATGAGCCCCCAAATAAAACAAAGTCAGTAGTTACATTAGGAAAATTCATTTCTCTAATCTAACTTTCTATTACTGATAAAAGCTTTCTACTTACTGAATTAGGACATACATGTCAATAATGTTCTTCATAATGCTACCTCTTACATCCTGTAAAGTGGCAGGATATGAAAACTGTGTAACACACTTTGCCCTACTTGAGTCTATGTGATTTGTTTCCCTGCACAGAGGAAAACAGCACACTACAAGCCACAGAAGCCAATGTAAATAAAAGCTCAAACACTTACTGTCGCTGGGGAGGCTCGAGTTGTGTGTGTCACTGAGTGACCAGAATTCTCCATTGAATTGCCAATCAGATAGGTTCCTCCGGAGCTGCTGATGAGCTGTCCTCCTGTGACGCCCATCTGAATACCACCAGTACCCACCATACTGTGGGAGGACACCACGGTTGTCACCTGTGCTGAACTTCCTTGAGTGTCAAAGTAATTTCCTCCAGTGTTTTGGCTGTACATCTGTGTTTCTGTATAAGGATAAGTTGTTGTTCGGCTTTAGAAGGAAAAAAAGAAGAAGAAGTTTACTAGCTTGTTTATATCACGATTGTTCTCTTTAAGACAAATATTTTTAAAAACACATCATTATTGTCCAGCCTTTGAAACCTGTGATTTTGTATTTTTCTATTAAATATTATTCCCATCAGTAGAAGGATTGATTCCTCTTCGAATTAAATGTCATTTTCTTTTAAGGAGAACCGTAACTTGATTCTGTATTGTAATGTATTTACCCTCCATAGGAGCTCATCTCCAACTCATCAACAGGTCAGTTCACTGCAGAAATCTGTTCACAAATGCTTTCCTTGCATTTAAATGCTCATGTATGTGCTACTGTTAGAAAGACTGAAATCTAACATGACTGGGGACCTGACAAGCCAACCTCTTGTACCACTTCCCATCCATGGTGATCATCCTTCATATCTGAAGAGGCTTCTGTGGATTCCTTGCTTAACACCAAAAAGATTTTGAGCTAAAACACTATCCATGTCTGTGTAGTAGTGCTCCCCCTTGTTAAAGACCATGCCAGCTCTTCACATACTCACTTGCCATCTCTCCAAAAGTCTGGTCAAGCTTCTGCCCTTAGCCTTTCAGTGAAGTGACTTTTAATAAGGTCACTTGTGACCAAATGTAAATACCAGGCTAAAAGGCTCCTTCAGCTCTTGTCTCTTTTTGACCTATTTCCAGGATGACACTGCTGACCACCCATGTTGCCCTTTTCTTCTTTGTCTGTTCTGATTAAGTTTATCTGATTTTTCATTTTCAGTTGATGACATCTTACTGGGATGCCTTTAATTTTTTTTTAATGTATAAAAGCCCACAAGAAGTTACAAGACTACAAGAAATATAAAAATGCACAGTCACAAACACTTCAATTGCTTATATCTTTAAAATTTCAAATGATAAACTAACATTTCCAGAGCTTGCTATTTTCTAAGTCGATTCTCTCACGGTTTGGCCAAGCCGTGGCAGTTGGGTTTCAACTAGCCTGGTACTTTACCTTCTGTGGCATTTCATTTCCACTCTATATTTGTTGTTTTCCCTCAACCCCCTTTTCTAATCTCCATGTTTCCTGCATGTTTGATAGGCTAGGTTTTGTGGATTCTGCTTTTCTTGTTACTTTAACTTAGACCACAGGCCTTTACCATGTACTACATGATACATGTGTGCTCACGGAAAGCTATCATAGAGTTGGAAAACTCTTTTTATTTTCTAGTTCTAATATAAGAATTTTAACATCTGAATTTTCAATGACCAACACTTATTTTAAATACCCACACAATTCATTGAACATGGAGATGTGGAGCTGGTGCCAACAAAGGGTCTTGATCTCTATGTTCTGCCTTTGGTGTGGTAAATAAAGTATTCTGCAAACTACTAAAAAAGAAATGTAAACACCAATCCAGCCACAAAACCTTTGTCCTACGATTGTTCCTGCCTGCAATATATGCTAGGGCAAGGGAGGCATAGAACTTGTCGGAGTAGTCAATCAATCAATGTCTTATTTGACTTAAGGCCCACTTCATAAGACTGAACCCATACCTGACACTGCTTGGGTGAACAAGAACCAGAGGCTAGATAGCACAGAGACCTAGAGTAAAAGCAAACACTGCAGGTCTTAAAAAAAAGTATCAATAAAATCATTCCTAATGATATTCTGCTATACTCATAGATCAGTGCTTTATCCAGTCATCATTAGAGAAGCTTCCTCATGTAGCAGATGGGAAGAGATGCAGAGACACACAGCCAGCCATTATGCAAAGAGAGAGTGTGGGGGGGAGAGTTTCCTTGGAACACACAGCTCTAAATAGGATGTCTTCATCACATCTCTCCCTTCAGAGCTCAGGGAACCTTGTGGAAGAAGAGGCGGAAAGAGTGTAAGCCAGAACCGATGGAGGACACCAGGAAAACAAGGCTCTTGGAATCAACTGAGCAAGGCTCACATGAACTCAGAGAGACTGAAGCAGCAAGTGTAGGGAGTGTAGGGCCTACGTAGGTCTGCACCAGGCCTTCTTGTATATATCACAGCTTTCAGCTTAGTATTTTTTACAGGACTCCTGAGTGTATGAACAAGTGGGTCTCTGATTCTTGTGCTTGCTCTTTGGGGATCTTTTCCTTCTGTTGAGTTGCCTTGTCCAGTCTCAATGTGATGGCTTTTGTTTTATCTTAATATATTTTATTTTGCCATGTTTGGCTGTTATCTCTTAGAAGTCTGTTCTTTTCTAATGAGAGACAGAAAGAGGAGAGGAAGTAGGGAGGAACCGAGAGGAGTAGAAGGAACAGAACCTGTAGTCAGCATATATTCTATCAGAAAACAATCTATTTTCAATAAAAGGAAAAATGGGGGTGGGGCTCTCTGCTATGTGGGCAGCCTCACAGGTCCTTGTTATTCTACACCCTTCATCTGGGCAGAGAACTGTTCTTCCACCTCCAGGTTTTGAAATTAACACCAATGCTTCTCTTATACTGATAGAAGCCAGTTAATCCTAAGAATTCTCTTCTAAATAAACCACGAAATTCTACAAATCTCTTTTCCATTCTCTTAATCCTTAATTCACAATGTTATTCATTATAGTTACATTCTGATTGGTTTTCTTTCTTCAAACCTGGCTCTCTTCCAATTTGCCTCCAATTTTGCTGCTATGGGAATTTTTCTAAAATAAATTTGTGGCAACAAAATTTTGCTAAAAAATCTTGCCATGATTCTTGCCTTCAAAATTCTCCCTTGCCTTCAAAAAATGCTCACATCTTTATAGGAAGCACCAGGGCTGGTTTGCACACAATCTCAGCAAAGCAAGAAGGGTGGAGAAAATGGTCTGCCCTAGAGAAAACTGATCAGCAAAATGGCCAATGTGATGTTACTGAAGAAAACATTTAAGAACATGGCCATAACAAAGTCCTGAGATTGTGTGCAAACCAGCCCTGGTGCTTCCCCTGACCCTCTTCCTTTGTCCTAATCGCCCTTAAAAGTTCAGCTTAAGTTCCTCATCTCAGATTTATTTTATGTGTCCTTGCTTACCACAGTCATTTCTCACAAGCATTACATTTTGTTCTCTATATTTCCCTAACATTCTTTTGCATGGCTAAAATATAGCTTCCAATACACTTACTGTCAATTTCCTCATATATCTCTACTCCCACGAAATTGTGCTTCACTACTATCTATAATCTCAACATAATCCAGTTACATGTTCATTGTGAGTACAATGAATAGCCAATAACTTTAAAGACAATTTCTATTGGCCATAGCATCCAACCTTATTAATTTCAACAAACATTTTTTATATTTAGTTATATCATGAGAAACTGAGTGAAACTTTCTAAGACTTAAAATTTTAATGGGGAAGTTTAACCTATCAAAATACTTGCAATTCACAATATTAATTATAGTTAAGATAAGAGTTTTCATGGCTCCAATGACATTCTGCTACACCCATAGATCAGTGTCTCACTCAGCCATCTTCAGAGAAGCTTCTTCTTTAAGTAGATGGGAACTAATACAGAGACTGGACAATATTCAGAGAATGCAAGACTTTGTAGCACTCAGGACTAAATGGGATGTCTTCATCAAACCCTTCCCTCAGGGGCCAGGCACATATGTGGAGGAGGACTTAGAAAGATCGTAAGAGCCAGAGGGGATGGATGCTTCCAAGGAAACAATGTCTTCCAGACACAACAGGACTGATGCACATATGAACTCACAGAGACTGTGGCAATACTCATGGGCCTTTACAAGTTCAAGCTAGATGGGGTCCCAGCAATGAGAAGGGGAAGTGGACACAGGCTTGCACCCCTAACCAAGAAGCTACCTACAATTAGTATATACTTGCAAAGGAAAAATTAGTCCTCTCCAATGGAGTTTCACTGGGCATATTAACCACACTTTGGTGTAGGCCCTATGCCCATGAGTAGATGGCCAACACAAAAAGTACTCAGTGGTATTTCTTTAGACTTTCTGTCTCATAGTGCTTTCTTGTGTACTTTCTGTCTTTAAGTCTTTTGCTTGTATATTTTGGTATCCACTTTTGTGCTTTTGTGTGTGTATGTGTTTCTTGGTTTTTGTTTGATTTTTTAGAGAGAAAGAGAAAATGTATGGTTTTGGGTTGGTAGGGAGGTGCAGAGGATCTGGGAGAAGTAGGGGGAGGGGAAAAATGTGATCAGAATATAATGTTTGAAAATATTTTTTCAATAAAAAGAGCACAAAAAAGAGATAATAGTTTTCAGAAAGTAATCCACACTAAAAAAATATACCCTCCACAAATAACTACAAAAGATACAGGAATAGATTTTAGTTTAGGACAATGACATAAACAATTATATAACTTAAAAAAAACTGAAAAATACCATTTTAAATATATGTAAAATTCTTATCATTGTTATAATTTCTCAAACTAAAAATCTTCTTTATTTAATAAAATAAAATAGCCATGTTGATTTCACATTTAGATTAAAGGAAAAAGAAGTGCATGCTAATTTGTGTTCACTGAATATATAGTAGCTTCATTTAACAATGGATAAAATAAGACAACTTCGGGTTGGTATTAAAGTATAGTCAAACAAGTTGTATAAATACATTCAGGGTAATAAATACTAACACATGCAAGACATGGCTCTGTTTCTCTTTTTGGAGGCTAGCAAATTTAGCCCACGTTCTGAGTTAAGTCACATGGTAAAAACTTAAGATTCCATACACATCAATAATATACATGAATAACTAAAACGGACTCATCCTGAAAGATAGAAAAGGGGGTTTTAAATTTTCTGTTGTGATTTGGGATTGTATTATTTCAGCTTTTTAGTACTACAGTACTCTTCTTATTCAGAATGGGGACTTGAATGCTGAAGAGGGGCTGATGGAAAAGCCAGAGCCATGTCTGAAGATACCAACACAACATAGGTTAATTCCAGCAGTTCTATGAATGTGGACATCATTACTAGAGCTTAAGAAAACCATATCAAAGGACTTGAATCATTCCATCTTTCAGACGTACCTTCTCA